TTACTAAATTATTTGGATCCAAAGTTGTGATTTATTGATTTAGGGTTTAGCATTTTTTGTTTTTTTGGTTTTGTTATGAGAGTTTCATAGATTGATATTAGATCTATGATTTACTGATTTCGGGTTTAGAAAAATGTGGTCCATTTATTTTCCAACTTTTTTTGTGAGAGAAATTGAAAGATAATTTTATAGTAAAAACATGATTTATTTATTTATTATTATATTTTTTTCTATTATTTTTTATGTTATGCGTCTGTGAGATATAGGGACTAGGGAGGAGACAATGACTGTGTGTCCAAGGAATAATAATGCATTCGGTGGGTCATTTTCCTTTTAGAATTGAAATTGAATTTACTGTAGCTTATTTGTAGATTGGAAATTGGAGCTTATAAATTTATCATAGTTGGAAACTTAAATTTAGTGAAGCCACAAACTGGAACTTTTAAATTTGAGGCTTATAAATTTATTTAATTATTTCAATGTCTAAGTTTGAGAAGTATGTGGGTATTGTCGAATGGTTCTTATGAATGAATGGTACTTTACAAGTTAGCTATTCAATGCATCGGAAAGGATATTACAGAAAATTTAGATTATGAAGATATAATTGATGGTTTGCATCTAAAAATGTCCGAAGAAAAAATTTCATTCGTATAATTATTTTTTTTGAAAAGTATCATTTTATTTTTGGAGTAAACATAATACTTGGGGCATAATTTTTTGTATTTTACCAGGGCCCCAAAATGTTTAGGACCGACTCTGTACTACATATTAAAAACCAAAATCGTGCACGATATCGTTAGATAAAATTGCACATTAATGTCTCACACTCCTGTTTGATGTCAGTTTTATTTTTTAAAATGACGAAATAATCGAACTAGTCAAACTATAAAAATTATTATTATTATTATTATTATTATTATTATTATTATTATTATTATTATTATTATTATTATTATTGCTGCGAGTGCACAATAGTATTAGACATGTTGCACATAAATGACTATTACATTGCACATTAGCGATCAGAACTGTCCAAACTAAAATCTTCGATTCGAAAATGTAAATTCTAGCCGATTATCTATTTTTACTTTCAATATCAAAATACTAACTACAATGTTATAAGTATACATAATAATTTAAATCGGCTATTTTGGTTAAATCGTTTAATTGACTGGCTAAATCAATCATTTATGTGTGATAAAAAAATACTATCGGTTCAATTATTATCCGTTATACTACATATTAAAAACCAAAATCGTGCGATATCGTTAGATAAAATTGCACATTAATGTCTCACAGTCTACACACTATAGTAATCAAAATTGACCGAAATGAAATTTTTGGTTCGAAACTATATATGTCGGTTTGATTGTCGTTTTATATTTAAAGTTAATTGTTATTACGGTCAATATCGGTTTTATTTAATTTTTTTTTTTACATTCACTTATCAGTATTTTATATTTATTGGATTTTTAATAATTTATTATACATATTTAAACCATTAACTAATTTGTATTATAATTGAAGTTTTTTAAAAAAAATAGCAATTGGTAAAAGAGTTGATTTATCCCCAAATCCATTTCATCTTCCAAAACCCATTTCACGAACATCACGAACAAACAAAATTCAGGCGACATCTCACTGCTACCTTCAAATCGCCGCCGGCGTCTATGGCCAGCGTGGCGGACAGTTGGAATTGATTATTCATTTGACGGAGTTGTTCGATTGACGACACACAGAGATATGAACGGCGCCTATGTCAATTGCCTGAACTTGGAAACCGACATCGATGGCGACACACAAAGAGGAGATGGACGGCGCCGACGGCATCCAAGGCGAAAATTGACGGCGACGCTGTGTTGGCTGTAAAGGCGGAGAGGCTAGATGGCGGTGGTGATAATTGCAGATGGTGGCTGTGCGGCGGCGATGTGGCTGTGCGACGGCGGGTATGTTCGCGGCTGTGGCAGGGCTGGTGGTGATTGGTGTCGATGGCCGGGCCGGTGGTGTTTCGAGTCGGTGGCGGGGCTGGTGGTGGTCGGGGGATGGATTGGTGGTGGTTGGGGTGGATCTGGTGGTGGTTTGTGGCGGGGCTGATGGTGGTTAGTGGCTGGGCTGGTGGAGGTTGGTGGTGGGGCTGGTGGTGGTTGGTTACTGGGTTGACAAAACCGGCTGGTGTGCCGTGTGCGGTGGTCGGAAGTCGACGGCCGGAGGTGGAGGTGGTGCTGGTTTGTGTGCCGTCAAACGTGTGTGTGTAAGATGTTGTTAGTATGTGAGAGAGGTGGTAGGTTGTGTGGGGCCCACTAGGTGAGATGGAGACACTTGTAGTGTCTAATACCATCTCCAACTGACAAACCCATTCTCAAACCCATTTTGCAGTAATTGTCATATCAAACAGTAATTCTTCTCCAACCGAAAAACTCATACTCAAACCCAAAAGAAGAATATTCTTGAAATATTCTCTTTCTCATTATCTTTTACATCTTTTTAATATTACCCACACATTTTACAAATTTACAAATTAGACCACAATTTTATTTTGAATTTTGATTGGAAAAATATAATAATACTAATTATAAAATAAATATTTGTATACGTGACAAATCGAAAAATATATATTTATTAAAAATTAAAAATTACTCTAATATAAAAAAACATTAAGGACATACTAAAAATTATACATATTTTAAAACATGTAATAAAATTACACCTCATTATTATTTAAAAACATGTAATAAAATGTTTAGAAAATGTTATAGATATAATAATAATTATTATTATTAACATATAAACTATCAATAATATTAACATAGGTACATATTGTACTTTTTTTTTTTAAATTTGAGTATATGATTGTTATAATATTTCAAACAAATAGTAATTTAGAAATATAAAGTAAATAAATATATTTAACCATTTTTCATATAAATAGTGATAGTATTTTATAAATATAAAGCAAATAGATATATTATATAAATTTAATAGATAGCAAACTGGACATTTGAAAAAAAATTGAGCACTGATTTGTGATTGCATAAAAATTATGCGATGTCCTGAAATGCAAACGCATATTTGCGTCAATAGGAGAGAGAAAAAGAGACCAAACGCATTTTGCGTATGAGTTTGAGATTCGATTGGAGCAATTTTCTTCCCTCATTTTGTGTTTTCCAGTTCGATTGGAGGTGGTCTAATATACTTGATCAGGATCATAGATTCAATGGCTTAGATTTATTCTTATTTCTTTCACTATTTACCATTCTCACATGATCCCAATATTATATATATATATATATATATATATATATAT